AGTTTTTTAGCAGAAAAGAAAAGCACCAACTCTTCATGTTTAGAAATGTGGTATTATATTCTGCTTGATCATCAACCATATGTTCAAATAGCCAACCAACACACTCATTCTCTCTCTACTAAAATAGTAATTATAAATGCATACAATTCACTGCTGTCAGGTGCTGTTCTAAGTATACCCACTCCTCACTTATCGACGTGATTAGGTTCCAAAGACCAGATCATTATGTGAAAATTGGCCTTATGCAAAAATTGAAGTGTTCTTCCCCCCCCCCCATTTCTAGACATTCATTTATCTGATTTTTGTCAGATTTAGAAAATATGATCATAGAACTAATAACGAGTAAGGTTTACTGATGTGTTCAATATTGTGATGAGTTCAGTTATGGATTATTCCTCTTCAGAGAACCCCTGCAAGCCTGCCTTCAGGATCTGGGAGCTTGCTTTGCTCTCTGGGCCTGGTGGGTCACTGATGCTCTGGGCATCCCTACAAGGGCCTGGGAGCCTTGCTGTATATGTGGCCCCACCAGGGCAGAGGCTTCAGAACCAATTTGACTTGCTTCATTAAACTCCCAAGTATTTCTTCCAAACATCCTCTCTGATGCCTCTTTTTTTCCTCCCTTTCCACTGAATAGGAACTGTGAACTGCAGGGCCTCAGGCAGCATAATAGCTGGGAACCCAGAACAGGAACCCAGAACTGGCTCAGTGCTGCTTGAACATCCCCCAAAAGGCCATGGCCAGGGAGGAGGCCAGTCCTAAGCAGTAGTGGAGGGCATGGGGCAATGTGACCCAGCTTCCTAGAAGTCACTCAGATAGCCTCTTTAGGGAGGAGATGTTCCACAGCCACTGTTGCCTTGTCCACCGCCTCCTTAGTGCCCAACATAGTCTGATAGTAGATTGTTTACTATTTTTGCAAATGTGAAATGTCAGATAACAAGATGGTTGATAAGTGAGGAATAGGTGTACTTCACACATATTAACTCATTCAATTTAGTATTTATAATACTTGACATAAGTTTTACTTCCCCCACATTTTAGATGCAATAAATAAGAAGTTGACCTTCATGGTTTTGAAGTAATGATTCATCATTGAATGATTTGGATTTACTGGGGTAGAGTTCCCTGAGCTCATTCATCTTACTCAATGGTCCACAGCCCTACTCTGCCCCACCCCCAAAAAATTAAAAGCACTTATCA